ATTTGAACTGTAATTATAAATAAAAATGTTTTTTATTTTAAAAAAAAAAAATTCTAAAGACATGTAATAGCACATTGATACGCCCATGTCTCTCATTTGCATATAGTAACATATTCATAATTCGAGTCTTATGTAGTTGGGTTAATAAATTTAATAACGAAATAATAAGCGTTTATTATACTCGTGCGTAATAGTTGACCAGACCATTTACATTTGAATTGTTCATTTAAATCTATACCCTAACCTTAATCTTAGCACACTAAAATGAAGTATAAGTTCAACCTGACCTTAACTATCTGCAGATAATATAACCTACTAATATATTATTATACGTATATGTATGTCATATACTTTTTTATTGCGGTTTTCGAAATGGTTAAAAATGATAAATAAAAATTTTTTGATGAATACTACGAATACTGCGAGCATTACCTTAGCACATTGATTAAAAATTGATGCATGCATATGATGTAATTCTGACTAAAACAATTACATTGTAAGTACGTAAAATTGGGCATCGATCTTTAATCAACATGCTAAGGTAATCAAGTAATCGCAGTATTCACCATAAATTTTTTGTTGACTATTTTCAACCATTTTAAACCCCGTAATCAATCCTACATAATTAACTTCACAATGATAAAATATGTTTTTTTTTTTATATATATCGGATGGTGTCTTACCATGAGCAATGTGTCTAAGAAAAAATCAAAGCTCAAGAACAAAACCTCCTTTGGTATTCAACTTCGACGTTACAGTTTCAGTTAGTTTATACTTAAAATACTTAAAATGAAAAAATGCAGTGGATGTAAAATGGAGCACACAGAAGACAAATTTAATTGGGATGGTGTTCGTTACAACACGTGTATTGGATGTAAAAAGAATCGTGATCGAAGGAGAAAGCGGGAGCTTGAAATTGCTAACCAGGAAACAGAACAAGCAGATAATGCTGATTGCGTTGAAATTGATTATTTTGAGATGGGTGACTTCATCGCAAGTGAAATCCAAGGACTAACAGAAAGTAAAAATGCAAACGGTGTAGCTGATAAAGCATATAAGATATATTTATTAGTAAAAATGAATTTAGATGCGCAAAACAAGACAGCAAAAGAAATTTCTGATCTCATTATTACTGAAATCGAAGGTGGTGATGATTTTTCATGGATGTAAGTTTAGTTATTAGGGGTTTTTTTTTTTTATCTTTTTTGTTTCTGTTTTTTTTTTTTTATTTTTTATTTTTTTATTTTTTCTAACTCTTTTTAATCATCTTTTTTTTATTTTTTATTTTTTTTTTAGCTATCATGAAGCAGACAATCGAAAAAGTATGGCACCACAGTCTGTAGATTTTCATATATATGTTGTCAATCACAAGAAGCAATCAGTAGACAATATAACGATTCAAATCAGAAGAAGTGCATACGTTACAATTGTAAAGGAAAGATTACAATACGAGTTGATACCGTTCTTGAAATTGCAAAGGTAAATATCCACCATAGATCACTTCATGAATGCTCAGACCTTTGCATTGAAATGCCAGAAGAATTACGTGAAGAGATTAAAGCATATGCGCACCTTACTATGGTTCAATTAACAAATCATCTACGAAATCGCAGGTTCGATATCTCAAAATTTTCTCACAAGCGCATGTATTATTGGAAGGCTATGGTAAATCGAAGCATATATCAGCATTACAATAATCCAGTCGAATCTGCATGCAGGCTTTTAAATGAATACGAAAATTTAGATTTCCATCAATGCCTGAACATACAAGATTCTGAATCCACAGCTATTGCCTTCATAACCCCATTACTGAAAGGTATTAACGATTTTAATATTAAAGGTAAAGTTTTTTTTTAAATTTCGTTTGAACTCCTAAAAAAAAAATAAAAATAAATCAATAAAAACAATAAAAATTAATAAAAATAATAAATAAAAATAATAAATGGCACTCTGGTTATATCGATACTCTCCAAAAACAAAGTAATTGCCTGACATATCAAGATGTCGGGTTAACCAGATGCATTTTCATATTAAAAATATAGATTCAAAAACTTAAAAAATGTCGATATTAGCCAGATGCCGTTATATACAAATGTCGATATAGCCAGAGTAAAAGAAATCGCATCTATAACTTAAATTAGTAAATTAAATAAAATTTATTTAGTGAAAATTTGTACAATATAAGAATTTTTTGCTAATAACTTAATATAATACTATAATTTACCTTTAAAGTTACTGAGATATACATAGATGCGACGTATAAAACCACATGTGGGTGCTATGAACTTTATGGCGTTCTCGCTGATGTAGATGGAGCTGGTTTTCCGATCACTTATCTTATAATGGATACAACGAAAGTGAAAGATTCGAGTGCCACTACTGAAAAGCGTAGTACAATATTAGAAAGATTTTTGGAGATCTTAAAGTCATATAATATTAACCCAGAGTTCATATTTACTGACAAAGACTTCGCGGAAATAAATGCTGAATCTAACGTATGGGGGGTTTCTGTCATTCAATTATGTGTTTGGCATCTAAAGTGAGCTGTGAAACGCAAGCTTGAAGAGAAAGCCAAACCATCAAGTAATACCGGATTAATAGCCGTGAATTATGATGTTAATCAAGCCTCCAGCGAGTTTGATTTTATTGATCCTACATTTTACCCGAGTGAGGAAGACCGTAATCCACGATCATATATTATTTGCCCATCTATATTCCGGGAAAAAAGTTTAGAGTTGATGCAAAGGCACTTTGACTTGCATCCGTTAATACCCGTTGATGCACACGGAGGTACGATGTCACCAGAGGCTATAAGAAAAACTGCAGTAGAGAAGATGTATCAATTCTGTATAGCAAATGTTATATAATTAATAAATTATATTATATTATTTAAACAAAAAATTAATAATATGGTATCTTAATATATAAGGATTGCGGTTGCTCTGGTCCTATCTCTGGACTAACTGGTACTCAACAAGGCAATGGCATCTTTGAGCATGGTCAGCCAAACCGATCGTGCTTTATAGAAAAACTACGATAAAAATAGAGGCTCATTGAGGTGTCCTTAAACGGCTTTACTTATAGCATTTTAACTAGCCTAGGCTGGATCTCTTAGTGTGGACACTTCTTAATGAAGTAGTTCCATCACAAAAGGATCGGTTTTTTCAAATTCGAAGTGGCACAATAGAACCATACTGGTGGGAGGATTTCAAGAAGGCGTGGACTTATACAGATACAAGTGATGAAGAACGAATAAAATTACGTGCTAATAGGAGTGGCAAGAAAAGAAAAAGAAGTATTAATGAAGAAACAACTAATTCGAGTAGTTCTAGTTTGTATTTTACAGATATTTCTCGTTGGGTATGTAGTTGTCCTGGTTTTGTTGGCAATCGGTTCTTGTTATGTAAGCACTTAGTTCGATGATGTATAAATACACCTGATGGAAAAGACGACGTTTGATTAAAAGCGAGTTTGAACGCCATACTACACCACCTTTCTTTACTATTAATAATCTTAATATCGATATCCCAGAGGTTCAAATTGTTCAAGTTGTTGAAGCTCCTATTGATAACTTACCAGATAACCATGGCATTGATATATATGAAGATCCGGATGAAGAAGCCCGTGTTTATGTTGAATCCAACTGGGAGTTATTTGAGCAGGCATTCTGACGTATCTGTTCAGAAAAGTCTACCAATAACTGGCGACAAGTTAGTGCTATGATGAAATATAGTCGTCTAATACAAATGGAAGAAGACATTCAAACTGTTGAGAGGCGTAGAAAATGACAGGCAACTTGGAATTCAGAAAATAGTAAAAAACCTTATCTAATGTATTTGTCTTTACCAGAAGAGCAAGATGTTAATGATATTGTATGATTTATAATAGAAGAATTAGAGTAGAAATAACTATATTCGTGTATACCTTATATTGAGTTTATAATCCGGTCTTGTAATAATTTAAAAATTTTATTATAATAAAATAATAGCCCATTTTTAAAAGTTAAAGGTGATGTGTAACTAGATCTAAGTTTTTTTTTTTTGCTAAGGGTAAAATTTTCTAAAAGTTTCGGTAGAACGTTCAGGCTCTTCGTGATCGAAAATAATAGATTGTGATTATCGGCTGCTACTGTGGCTGCTGCGGCAATTTCGTCGATCATCACCCGAACTTTGGGAGGGCGATCCTGGCTGATCCTCAATAATAACATGATCGGATCAGCCGAAAAATCATTCGGCTAATTTTTTACAGGTGTCCCAGGAATTATGAAAACAGCCGGATTTTAATTCCAGGAGGAAATTTACAACAGTTAACACTTATAAACTCAGTTTATAAGTGTTAACGTTAACTGTTGTAAATTTCCGTGTATTATACAATAAATAAATATTTAGTAAAACGGGATATTATGAACCACAAGATCAATTTTTATTATAAGAACTAAAAGTGTAAAAAAGTAATACATTTTTATCATTAAACATTTTTTAAAAAGTGATACGTTTTTATCGTCAAACATTTTGGTAAAAAGTAACATCATATATATATTTTTTTTGTTACCTAACCAGTAAGTAATTTTTTATTTCGTTAATCTTTTAACCACCAAAAAATTAAAGAATAATAAATAAATAACCCCAAAACTCTCTATATACATTTTTTTTTTTTTTTTTTTCGCCATGTACCCCTTTTTTTCCTAAAATAATAAATGAGGTAGAAAATATTTACAATATTGATAACATGAAATAAAAATTTCCTAACATAAATTTAATAAATATAAAGAGAGCATTGGCACATTATGCACCGATTTCTTTTTTTTTTTGGCGTTTAAATTTAGTTTTTTTTTTTCTTCGCAAAATATTATAATTAAATAGAGGGTAGATAATTTAATAAAATGTGAAGTATAAAGAAAGTTATATATATAACCTTCAGGTAAATTGATATTTGTAGGTTCATTTAAAATATATAATTGGTTCGAAGGAGATGATTTTCCATTATAAGACTGCCACACTTCAAACTAATTATTGAATCATTATCGAAACATTTAATCAAATCAGGCTGACTGGATGCTAATGTTGATATAAAGGTGGAACTTGTTGAAACAGAACAACGATCATAGTCATCCAAAAATTCTGCTGGAGGAATAGAAAAATCCATTTCCGAATTCATGGAATACCACGAGCATGCAGAAGACGTTGAAGACTGACTGCACATGTTATGGGAAATTGTTGGAGGTACATCAATTTCTTGTTCAACGAGCATTTCACAGAACGTAGCAAATTCTGGCATGATGAAACTATGACATTCCAATACACGTTCTTTAAATTCACTTAACGTTATGCGCTTCTCAGGATCGAGGGCAAAAACGTCTTTTAAAATTTCGTTAAGCTCATCAGAAATTGGAAGTATAGTCTTTAAAAACTCTGGATTTTGGACATATGCTGAAAATGTTTCGTCACTAAGAGAGGCTTGTTTCCATGGATTACGACCACAAGCAAGATTAATGAGAATAATGCCCAATGACCAGACATCATTGGGTGCTGTCGCATAACCCGATACTTGTTCATAAAGCCCACCTTGACATTCTAAACGTTTAAAAATAAATGTTGATAAGTTTAAGTTATCAAATATCGGAAAATAAAAAATAATTTAATTTACCTGGGCTCATATAAAAAGTTGACCCACAACAAAAGTCTTTTGACCAAGTATCTGTTGTTGCTAAACCAAAATCCGCAAGTTTAACGGTCATTCCATCGTCAAAAACAAGAATATTTTCTGGTTTTAAATCACGATGATAAATGCCATGATAATGTGAAAACTGGACTGCATCCAGTATTTGCACAAAAACTTGTTTTATAAGATCATCATTTCCAATATATAACCCTTTTTCGGTAATCATTGAGAATAAATCTCCTTCATCAGAATATTCAAGGACAACATTTAAAGAATCTGTGGTATCAATAATCTTTTCTAGGCTAATGATATTTGGATGGCCGGTAACTTGAGCATGAAGATTAATCTCTGTAAGATGTAATCTATGTTGTCGCGCATCTAGGTTTGCTTTCGGCATGCATTTTACAGCATAAACTCGTTGATTAATAACATTTTTCGCTGAGTAAACCACCCCATACGCTCCTACACCGAGAATATGAGTTATCTCTAATAACCCATTATCGATGAATTTACCAACTCGTTCAGAAGGATCGAAATAGCATCCCGTCAATGAGGTCATTTCTAAGACTTAAAGAGGATAAATAGTCCAGAGAATTCACTATATACCAAACGCTGCGGAAAGTATGATAATTAACTGACGAATATTAAAAGAACCCACAATATTGAAAAAATTGTTTAAGGTCAACAATTTTTATATATACATTTATCTTGTAACTAGGAACTAAGGTAAAAATTATCTAGAGCACCAGTTTCGTAGAATAAAGAAATTGAATATTTAATTTGTGAAAAAAAAATTCAAAGAGGGTGTGAATAGATTCAACTTCTTTTGAGTCAACAAAAAAAAAAATATAATCACACTGAATGCTTATTTAATATCAAAGAGACCACAAGTATAATAATGACGTTTACGAGATGAATTTTACGAAGATTTTAGTCAATATTAGAGAAACATGAATTCAGAACTTAGGAGGAAAAAGGACAACAAAAAAATTGTCAAAGAGTAAAAGATGGGGCAACGGAGTCCTTATATATAAGGGGCTAAGATTTTCATTGAAAGGAGTTGAGGTACGTACGTACATACGTACGTACGTACAAAGGAAGCAAACAATGGAAAATGCAAGATGCAAACAGGATGCATAGCACGTAACATACGTAACGCAATAAAAATAAATACATGTATCATAATTAGTATAATAAGATGATGAAACGACTTTTATATATAAGCGTTTTATCCCTTACTAAAAGTTACCAATGGTTCATCATTCATTTGACTCATTTATTTATTTCCATAATATTGAAACAAAAATGTTAATAAGATAATTATTTGTATAACTTTCGTTTTTTTTAATTACTTACTAAGCCTGTTCCAAATTAATCTGAAAGGCGCTAAAAATACACTGTAAAACAAAAACATGACTGCTTAAACATCTCTTGTTCAATAATTTGTGATAGGATTACGTACGTACGTACGTACTTATATGACGAAATTTCGTCTCATTCAAAAAAATGTGTTAATTATTATTAACTATATTAGGGGATCGTCTAAAGCCAGGTGAATTTATATGCCTCACGTGACTTTTACATTACAAATTTATTATAAAAACTACCTGGCTTTAGACGATCCCCACATTAGGTAACTGCATACTAAAATTAGAGAACAGATCTTAAAAATAAGGATGCTGTTTAACAGCGTGTCCGCGAATTACGAAATTTGATTGGTCAATAAGACCAAAACTCCGTTTTGTTGGACTTATCCGGATTCATATTTAATCTTCAGACTTTAAATAGTTTTTATTTTATCTAGTTTTTATTCAAATTTCTATTGGGTGAAACTATTTACATATCACCTTATATAATGTAATATTTTAATCGGGTTAGAGTGGATGGGAAATGTGATGTGCATATATGTGCATATGTGTCATGTTTTTCGTAAATCATATGTGCACATATGTGCTGCAGTATATAATGTAAAGAATATCTTTATGAAGCCTTTAAAAGTAATATTATAAGTAAAACTAATTTCAAATAATTTCAGTTTACATTATATGATAAAATTAAAATTTTATGTTTATTCTAAGTATGATAATAATATTTTCACTTAAATTCTTTGCCAAAAAAAGCATTAATGTTTATACTTAGTATTAGAAATTTTTTTTTTCTAATTCGGCTATCCTGCCCTTGTTTATTTGGGATCAAGTTATTCAAAATTACAAGTAATTTATCTCTAATTAAAATAGATCCAACCAAATAAAGAACTCGCTTATATAATTTTATACACTAGGCGTGACCTGCCTCAGTAGCTTTTGGCTTCCCTCAGAGTTTTTAACTCATTAAGGACTTTTTTCCCATTGTTTATCGGCTGGCGATTACCCACTTATCAAGAAGCAAAATCAGAAAATAAAACAAACAAACTAAAAAAAACAAACACAGAGGTATAGGAGACTACAGTAAAAGAATACAGAATATAAAAAAAAAAAGATAAAGGAATATCGAAAAAAAAAATAAAAATAAAACAGAAAATTTGCTAATTTTAATGCCATGGTTATAAGTCTATAGGTAGCTTGAAAAAATTATATACTGACTAGACAAATTAGTTTTTACTTCTATTTTTCTCTAAACTAGTATGCGAAAGTAAAAACCCAATAGGAAAAACTTCATTGACCGGTTTAAAGTAGAGAGGTTGGAACAGAGTCTTGGAGCATTGTTTATACAGATATCTATTGCATTCAAGACATGTGTATATACATGTTTATTATCATGTTCTGATTTGGGAGATAAATAATGCCAACTTGTTTGGTATATATGATGTCAATTATTTGGAGAGAGTAAGCTAAAATGCCCACTTTTTACAAAAATTTCCTCGAAAAAAGTGGTGGGCCAATGAGAGTATGTGAAGTTTTTCTTGTAAGTTTTACAGTTGTATAGTTCAGCTTTTCTGTTTCTACCACTTAAGAGTGCACTTTGGCTACTTCTACAGACTTGTTCCCAGAATAAACCTTCTGTGGTTTAGATGCTGAATACTTTGAAGAGTTCGTCAGAAAGAAAACTTGATCCCAAAGAAAACTATCTGTTCTTTTGGTATCTGCTCCTTGGTATTTCATATCTAGACAGCTTAGACTTCATTAGCAACAAGCTGCTTCTACTTATAGGACCAAGTTTTAGTATCTACTTTGTCGCTTTTCTATATGTTATGCTGTAGTTCAGTTTTTGTTATTGTTAACCAAAGGATCATTGGGAAGAGTTATAATGTATATTTGAGTACTAGAAATTCAAAATTATCTAAAATAATTTTGCTATTAGTATTAGTGAATAACTTCAAAAATTGTATCTATTATTAGTTAAAATAATAAAGTTTAAATTAATATATCTGATTTTGTTCTTATTTTTTATTTTCAATTGTGTAAAATAATTATATCTAATAACTATATTAATGGGTATCTATTTGCTGTACTAAATTTAGTATAATATACTAAATTTAATATAGTATTAAAGTTATATTTTGAATAATTAGTATCAATAACTTTAAATTAAATTTATCTAATATATAATTCTATATTTATATTTTTATTTTAGTATATTTAAAAATAAACTTACTTAACAAAAGTTATATTAATATATTTAAAAGAAAAATCGCTACTAAAAGTGCTATGAAAAAACAATAAATTATAAATAATAAAAATTTTATTTAATAAAATTTAGTTAAATTTTTAATAAAGTTGTAAAGCTAATTTTCTAATTCTAATGATAGTAAAATCATTAAAATTAGTTTAATATATAAATAGTTATAAAGTAATTTAAGTTTACTAATTTTTTACTATGTTTTTACTATGTTTTGCTATATAAAATATATAAAAAACTAACTATTTTTAGATGTGTATTATTACTATAAAACAGATTTATTTAAGCTATTTAAAAAAATTATTATTCAATTTTTTTAATTATATCAAAATTAAGATTAGATTTAAAATGATCTAAAAATTTAATTTTATTACAAATTTTTTGTATATTATAATTTTTGGGAATTTTAATTTGGTATACCATGCATCATGGTGCACTCCTAATCACAAGCTATATAAGCAGTGATCATTGATCACTGATAATTAGTTTTTTTTTTTGCTTTGGCTGTTTGTTACGTACTAATATATATATATATTTTTTTATAAGTATGTAGCTTATACAATTTTACGGGTAGCTTTTAACACGTCGTTTAGATCTGGTATCTGTTTTTTTCATTGTTGATGCTGTTGTGAGGGAATCGTAATTGCTATTGAGCTGTCTAAATCATTGTAGTCATTGCTCTAGGTATCATGCTGTTGCTTTCGGTTTTGTCCTTGTTTATGTTCTGTCGCACTACTGTTGCCAGTATAAACACCTATGTTGCTTTTGATATATGTCATATTAGGCTATTATTCTTGGATTTGTGAAGTTGTCGCTATTGCTAGACTGTCTCTTTTGTTGGTGTGATTTTGCCGTTATTAATATGCTGTTTTCGTGTTCATTATTGAAGATTTGTTGTGTTAAGGTTAGGTAGTTGGGTTTATTGTTGGGGTTAGTAGTTATAGCAGTTAGGTTTAGGTTATGAAGGTTTGAGTAAATATAGTTTTTATTTCTTGTTTGTTAGAGCATCTATGAGTTTGAAGTTTTTTGGGAAGTATACAGTAATTCTGTTTGTTTTCTGTTTTGTTTTGAGTTGAATTTGATTAACGCTTTTTTTTCTTTTTCAGATACTGGTCGAAAGCGTGAACTATTAGGCGTATTTCAGAAAGTATTATTTGATTTGGTTGTTCTGAACTGTGGATGCACTTTACTAACTACTTTTTTTTCCTTGAAGGTAACAATAAATTGGTTAGTTCAATTATATGATCTTTGTTTTCACTTTTAGTTTTTCACTGTACTATTGGCATTCAATTGTCATTATAAAAGCACCTTTGTTATTGGTGTCATCATTATACAAGTGTGATCTATTGTTGGTACTATTACTTTGGCGAGTTTTTCGTTGGTGTGGTTGTGAAACTTTGTGATATTTAGAACTTAGCTGTTAGGGTTGGTTAGATTAGTTTAGTGGAATTAGGATAGGTTAGGGTAGCTTCGATTTAGGATAGGTTAGGGTAGCTTCGATTTAGGATGGATTAGAGTAGCTGTTGCAATCATATAGTGTTAAATAGTTGATATGATATAATCATTGTGTCATGCTGCCAATCATAATAAAGTTTCTTATATTGATTATTATTAATTTTTGCTATTGGTATATATATGACGTTGCATATGCGTCGTGTATATAAATCTATCACATGATATAGAGGGGTGCACCATAGTGCAGGTATACCAAAAAATAAAATCTACAGAATATTATATATATGCAATTAATACAATTATAATGTTTGTATTAAATAACTA